AGCCCCTCTCCCTGCTCTATCCCACCACCTGGATCACAGGGCTTTTGTCCCCCTGGTAGCTGGGGTTTGCTCAGCCCACAGCCGGTGCCAGCCTCCCATTCCCCAGCTCACAGCAAGGCCAGGCAGGGGCACTGTGGGCGGGTATTTGCTGTATAAACACACACACATATGTGTAGGAAAAGCGGGACAAGCAGCCTAACCCTGTCTGTGATCCACAGGTATTTCTGGCATCTGAGAGTGCTGGGGGAGCTCGGCTGGAATAAAGGGCGCCCGTGCCGCCGGGTCTGGGAGCCGGCAGAGGCTGCCCCGAGCAGAGCAGCGGGAAGCAAGGCAGCAGCAGGAGGAAGAGGAAGAGGAGGAGGAGGAGGATGCCGGCGCTCAGCGCGTTGCCTTTCCTGAAGCCCGTTCACCTTAGGTCGCCCCGCAGGTCGCCCGGGGGCCAGCGCCGGCACACGCTGCCCGCCAGCGAGTTCCGCTGCCTCAGCCCCGAGGACGCCGTGAGCGTGTTCGAGATCGAGCGGGAAGGTAACGGGGTGCCCGCGGGAGCTCCGTCTGCCGGACAGGACCCATCCCTTTCCTTCACCAGTCCCTCGTGCTCCTTCAGGGCACACTGTGGTGTGTACCCTCGTGGGAGGGATACAGCAGCCGTGACTTGTGGCCAGGCCTGGGGTGGGGATGGTAGGAGGTGATGCCCTGGGTTCAGTAGGACCAGGTGAGTGCGGAGCAGCTCTCCCAAAACAGTCCTGTGAGAGCCAGAGGGCAGGATAGGAGAGGGGGAAGTGGGAGGAAGGATATCATGTTCTGCCTCCTATTGCACAGGGGCACTTTGAGATGCACTTCCTGCAACCTTCCCTCCGTCCCAGTCACCCCAGCTTCCCTCACCCAGACTCACCCGGCCCATTTCTCCCTCCTCTCCAAGGCCAAGGGCAGCTGGAGAGGTGCCAGGAGGGAGGGTTCAACTCAGCACTCACTGCTCTAGCTCTGGAATTAGCAGTGAGAGCAGAGAGCTGGTCACTGGGCTGTGGAGGCTGCCTCTGGAGAAGCTGCTCCCTGGAACCATCCATGTCCCCTAGAACTCCTTTAAACCTAGCAGACAGCAGGACACATGCCATCTCTCTTCATCACATCCTGCTTTCCCTCCCCTACATCAGTGCTGGGAGGTTTTCTGAGTCTGGGTGTCCTTGGTCCCCCTCACTGAGCTCACCATTGTCCCCCTCCAGCCTTTATATCCGTCTCTGGGGACTGTCCCCTCCACCTGGATGAGATCCGCCACTTTCTGAACCTGTGCCCGGAGCTGTCCCTCGGCTGGTTTGAGGAAGGGCGGCTCGTGGCATTCATCATTGGCTCCCTCTGGGATCAGGAGAGGCTCAGCCAGGTAAGACCCTGTTCTTCCCACCTTGTGCACTGGTAGAGGCACTGCCAGAGCCTGGGGATCAAGAGAAGCTCCCCAGCGTCCCGAGGCTACTCACCAAGTCTTCTCCCAGAACCAACTGCTACAGGGCTGCTCTGGTGAAAATGAACCTTCTCATTAATTAACTTGAACAATGCTGTTAAAAAAATCTGCCAAGTAATTCCCCTCAACATTCATTTTAAAATTAAAAACCCTCCAAGGATGACGGGCGCGGGGGGGGAAGTGAAGTGGGATGGCACAGGGACCCTTCTCCCTTTGGGGTCACTGGGGTGGGGAACCAGCCTCGAGCAGGATGGTCCCACTAACCCCTGCCCCCCCCCTCGGCAGGCAGCGCTGACGCTGCACAAGGCGCAGGGCACGGCCGTGCACATCCACGTGCTGGCCGTGCACCGCACCTTCCGCCAGCAGGGCAAGGGCTCCATCCTGATGTGGCGGTACCTGCAGTACCTGCGGTGCCTCCCCTTCGCCCGCCGGGCCCTGCTCATGTGCGAAGATTTCCTCGTGCCCTTCTACCAGAAGTGCGGGTTCGAGGCGCTGGGTCCCTGCGAGGTGACGGTGGGGGACCTGGCATTTATCGAGATGCAGCACTCGGTGCAGGGACACGCCTTCGTGCGCAGGAACAGCGGCTGCTGAGCCCCCTCCGCTCCATCCCGGCTTGGGAGAGAGGCTGGGGTGGGAGAAGAGGCTGCAATCCCTCTCCATCCCCACCACATCCATCTTCCCCGGCTGGCCCTGGCTACAGCTACTGCCTCTGCCGCATCTGCCTTCCAGCCACATCGGCCCAGCCCCATCACATCCCTGCAGCGCTGGGCACAGAAATTCCTGTGCCTGATCCTGCTGGAAGCAGCTCTCTGGGCTCTGCTGGCGAGCTGGGTGGACTGCAGGACCACGAGCTCCCCGGGATGGAAAGGCTTTGCCATGGGAGCAGCTGGGGGCTCTGGTGGTTTAGGGGCACTTACACCCACCACTGTTTGCTGACACACCCAGCAGAGCCCCTACATCCATGTGCCCCCAGCCCCGCACCCCCTCTCACCACCACAAGTGGAGCACACCCTGTCCAAGCCTCCAGAGCAGGCAGCTGCCCCCCCCGATCACAGACATATTTCCAGACCCCTTGGAGCACACCCCCACACCAGGCAGGGGTCCTCGCAGCCACCCCACCCCCTCAGACATCTTTCCAGACCTCTTGGAACACGTGGCCATGGCCCATGGCCACTCCCAGCCACATCTTGAGGAGCCTCCCCAGGGAGCCAGTCCAAACCATTTGGTCCTCCCTGTCCCAGACCCACAACTGGCCCAGGAGAAGCCTTCTACAAACACCTGAGGCTGTTGGGAAGCAGCAAATAAAGATGTGGCAGTGATTTTCTATACAGCCCATGTGTGTTCTTACCCTTCTCTGACAATCACCCCACCACGAGGCCGGAGGGAGGGCACCAGCTGGCCCAAGGAGAGCTATCCATCATCATTTGGGGCACTTCAGCCTCAAGGAAGAAGGGGCAAATCCAGCCTCGGGTCATTCAGTAAAGGGTGAGATACAGACAGGGGTGGGTCTGCCCATGGGGAGAGTCAGGAGGGTCCATGGATGCGGGTGTTTGACTTCTCCTTCTGCTCAAGACCCTCCAAATCCTGTCCCCTCCCAGGGAGGGGTTTGAGGGGCACACCAGGGCACAAGCCCCAGGCACTGCCCACTCATCCTCCCTCCTTGCCACACCAACCATCACCAAAACAACCAGAACCACCCAAAAGTGCCACATCCCCAGGTCCAAGAAGGGAGAAGAGGCCTCGGGCGACTCATTAAATACAGGTAGAAATTTATTAAGGGAGGGGAAAAAACCCACAGCTTTTTAAAAAAGTATCAAAAAGAGAAAAATGAGGTGAAGTGTCTGTCTTTGGCTGGAGCAGCAACTGGAGGGACTGAGCAGGGCTGAAAACTGGCCCCGGGTGGAGGAAGGGATGCAGGTGCCATAGGCTCCTGGGATCACCTGGCCAGTGGTTGTGGAAAGGGAGCCAATCTCCCAGCCCTTCAATACTCATCCCAGGACAACCTAACTGGGGGATTTCCACCTGCCCCCATTTAAAAGCACTGACGTCTCCAGCACCAAAGCAACATATAACAGGGGAGAGACATCCTGGCACCAGCCTGGGTCCAAACCAGCCCAGAGGGATCACCTGGACCCCAGGAAGGACCTGCCTTCGTGTCATGGCTGATGGGAAGGCAGAGGAGATGCTGGGAGAGCAGCCCAGGGTTGGAGGCAGGAAAGGGGGAAAGCAACTGCCCCATCCTGCACTTCTCCATCTGACCAGCACTGTTTCAGGAAGGGAGAGTTACCTGGGTCTCTAGGCTTTGAAGAAGGGAAAAGAGTAACAGCAGGGACTCAAGGCAGAAGGTGGAAGCACCAACAGCTTCTCAACAGGTCTGTGGGCTTCAGGAGCAGCCACGCAACCCCCCCAGGGTGTTTTTCTCTGTGCCTGCCTACTTCACCATGGCACTACAAACATGGTCTGTGCCACTTCTCCCCTTCCAAAAAGGGAATTTCACTGAAATAAGGGGAAGATAAGGCCCCTTGTCTCAAGTCCTGCCTCTCCATCCAGTGAGGAGTCAGATGGGGGGGCACAAGCCTCCTTCAGGACCTCAGGGGGAATGGGACTGAAAAATACCTTTGAAGCTCAGCTCTGAACGTCTCAGAGCAATGATAGAGACTCCAGGGAGCCCGAAGTGGGGAAACCCTGGGCCTAAAGAGCTGTGGATAAAAGGAAGTGCCCCTGCAAAAAGGGGGTCATGTTCACAGTATGAGCTGCAGCGCCCAGAGGCACCGGCAGGGACAGGGACAGGCAGGCAGGGTGTCCTAGTTAGAACAACTGGGACCAGTTCATCATGGTATGGGTGTAACCTAAAACTGTGTATTCTATAGCCTTCCAGGCCATTTCCCAGAAACTGTTATCAATGAACCACTTACACCATCTGCCCATAAGTAAATTGATTTAAGTGGGAAGCAGGGGGTGTTGGGATTTTTTTTATCTCTCATTTAATTTTGGGAATTTTAAGCGCCTCACGAAGATTGTAAGATGAAAGGCCCCGTCAGGGCTGGACACCGAGGGAATATTGCAGTCGAGGTAGGATACAATATATAAAAATGGAAAATTTACACCAGCTACATGGCAGGTCTTTGTGTGCAAAAGAACCCCCCTGTACAGTACAGGGGGTACGTCATCAATCAATCAGGTGGGAGGGTGACACCCTCTCCCAGGTTTGAAAAATTACCTTTTAAGGTAAAATACCTGTTACCTGCTGAATATTCAACATCTTAGGTGGCCAAAGGGTACAAAGGGAGCGCGCTTTTCAAACTGGGTGTGCTTTTCCAGGCAGGTGGCTTGAGACTGCACCCAGAGCTGCAATAAAGGATTCTTTTCTGTAAGTTTCCTTGTCCTGCAAGTGTTTTTTTTGCCGTTTTATAAATTGGGAAAAGAGATTTTTTTTCTCACAAGACCACCACTCTCGACTGGACTGCAATCACCAGCCTTGACCAGACTGCAACAGCATTTTCACCAACAGGTTTTCCCCTCTCCTTTTACTTTGGACTCAGGGGCCGCCATGGACATCCTGAAGCGCGAGATCAGCAGGAAGCGGCAGCAGCTGGAGGAGAAGGAGCTCCTGGGGGGAAATAAGAAGTATTTCAAGCGCAGTGAGTTAGCTAAAAAGGAAGAGGAGGCCTACTTCCAGAGATGTGGCTACAAGGTACAGCAGCAGGAAAAGGAGGAGAAACCACTGGCTGCATCAAATCCAGTGCTGGAACTGGAACTGGCAGAAGAAAAGTTACCAATGACCCTTTCCAGACAGGAGGTTATCAGGAGGTTACGAGAGAGGGGTGAGCCCATCAGGCTCTTTGGAGAAACAGATTATGATGCATTTCAGCGTCTGAGGAAGATAGAAATTCTTGCACCTGAAGTGAACAAGGGCTTGAGAAATGACCTGAAGGCTGCTTTGGATAAAATTGATCAGCAGTATCTGAATGAAATTGTGGGAGGCCAAGAAGGAGGAGACAACGACTCCCAGAATGACCTGAAAGTCCATGAGGAGAACACTACTATGGAAGAACTAGAAGCTCTGGGAGAATCCTTAGGACGTGGTGATGACCACTATGATATGGACATCATAACAAAGTTCTTGAAGTTTCTTCTTGGAGTTTGGGCCAAGGAGCTGAACGCCAGAGAAGACTACGTGAAACGGGGAGTGCAGGGGAAGCTGAACAGCGCCACTCAGAAACAGACGGAGTCCTACCTGAGGCCACTCTTCAGAAAACTCCGGAAAAGGACACTTCCTGCAGACATCAAAGAATCAATAACAGATATTATTAAATTCATGTCGCAAAGAGAATACGTGAAGGCCAACGATGCCTATCTCCAGATGGCCATTGGGAACGCTCCCTGGCCCATCGGTGTCACCATGGTCGGCATCCACGCGAGAACGGGACGGGAGAAGATCTTCTCCAAGCACGTAGCCCACGTCCTGAACGACGAAACCCAAAGGAAATACATACAGGGGCTGAAGAGGCTCATGACCATTTGCCAGAAGCACTTCCCAACACACCCATCCAAGTGTGTGGAGTACAACGCTTTGTGAGGCTCTGCAGGGGCCAAGGCATGACTCATATTTTGGTCTCCAAGACCCAGAGAGGATGGAAGAGGCAGAGTCTGTGCTTGGGCACCAAGAGGAACTTTGTGAAAAAGCAGAAAGCAGGAGATTTTCTACAGAAAAAATAGAAATTTATTTTTTTTTACAATAAAAAATAGAAAAAAATAAGAAAACTTGTAGGGCTGTGTCTCAACTAAAGCTCTAAAATTTGGGAAACAGTTCGGTCTGAATAACAAACTGAAAAAGAAAGCAAGGCTCTTGTGCACTGTGCCCTGGTCACTGTCCTGGTCTTAACCTCTTCAAAACCCACCCCCTTTGCTGTGTATTGGTTGTGTTCAGCATAAAGCAGATTTAAAAATAAACCTAAATAAATGGGGCTTGTAAAAAGGAAGCTGTAGAAAATCTCCTGCTTTCTGCTTTTTCACACAGGGACACAGGCTGGAGACCTCGGCAGCTTCACCCCCAGGCTGGGAGTCCAGCCTGGCTGTGGATACACCAAAATCCCACATCCTTCGTCCCTTTCCCCATGCAGGAGTCGGTCCCCAAACCAGTTATGGCTTTTCAGCACCAGGAGGCAGCCCAAAGGGGTGCAAGGCAGGGCTGGCTCAGGCCTGCTCCCCACTGCATCCCCAGCACTGAGCAGGACCCAAAACCCACCATCCCTGAGGATGAAGCTGTGCCCAGGGCCTGCTCCATCCTGGAGCAGCTGCTGCCGTCTCCCCCATGGAAAGCATCGCCGCCGGCGCCTCTCCCAGCCCTGTCCCCGCCGGCAGGGTCAGTGCAGGACCTGCTCCAGCTCGTACTTCTCGCAGAACTTGCTGGTGAAGGGCAGGCAGGTGAGATACTCCACCCAGCGCCAGTTCACCGGGTAGGCGTAGAGCCAGACCACCAGGGAGGCAAAGAGCCCCACGAAGACCAGCAGGGACACGATGATCATGGCCCTCTTGCGGTACTTGTCCATCGTGCCGAAGGTGATGTAGGGCAGGAAGGCGAAGGAGAGCAGGAGGCCACTGAGGAAGCCGAAGAGGTGGGCGATGTTGTCGATCCAGGGCAAGAGGCCGCAGATGAAGAGGAAGAGGACAATGCCGGAGAGGTTGAGGAAGGCTTTCCAGGGTTTCTCCAGCACTTGCCAGCTCTGGAAGAGCTCCACGAAGAGGCAGGCCAGGAGGCCAAACTGGGACCCGGCAGGGCCCACCTGCAGGGATGGGGGGAGTCATGGCCAGACCCTGCACATGTCACCCTAGACATGTCCCCATGTCCCCAGGGATCATCTCCTCCCCTTGCAAAAGTCATTTGGCTTCTGCATCCCTATGCAGGCTCCTGCGTGGGGCTCAGGGGTGGGAGCCCTGGCACAGGAGGGAGAGGAAGGGAGCACATCAGGGCCATTTTGGCAGAGCTGATATTTTCTGTGACTCAGCAGCCGGGAAGCATCACCTCCTCCTAGACCACAGCCCCCCCCAGCCCCATCCTGACGCACCCCCGGGGGGATTAGGGCGCTTGGTGTGATCTCATTTAAAGCCTGAGAGGGTTTGGCTGGCAGCAGATTAGCCATCTGCCTGCCCGGGGACCTGGCACACACAGGGACACGTGGCGACGTGTGGCACACACGGCATGTGAGAACACCACACGTGGGGCAGAGACACTGTCTCCCCCTGCCACCAGAGTGCCAGCCTCTCACCCTCCCTGCAGCAAAACCTGCCAGAGGATGTGAGCCCTGTGCTCCAGCCCCTTCCCCAAATCCCTGCCAGGACAGGGATGGGGAAGGATGTCCTTTAGTCCCCAAGGAGCTGGCTGGGTTCAAGGTGATGTGGACAGAGCCCCCCCCGGCCTCACCTCCGCCCTGTAGGGCAGGAAGATGGCACTGGCCAGATTTCCCGTGATGCCACTGAGGATGAAAATGATGGAGATGCGATGCCAGCCTGCCAACTTCTCCAGATCCCGCAGCACTGTCATCTGGAAGGTCACCGACACCAGGCAGTGGAGGATGCTGAGGGACAAACTCTGTGTTAGAGACCCCTGCCCAGCCCTCCCACCCACTGCCCCAGGGCACAAGACACCTTACAAAGCACCCTCCACAGATAGCAGGTGTCACCACACTGTGGGGGTGCACTTCCCTCCTCTCTCCCACCCCACCAGGGGTCCCAGACCATCCCAATGGACTCTCCCATCCCCATTCCCCCCACCCCTGTGGGTGCAGGGGGCTGTGGCTCACCCGGCGTGCAGGAACAGGGACAGCCACAGGCGGTAGAACTGGTCAGGGACCTCTGGGTTGAGGAAGGGCAGGAGCCCACAGACCTCATCCAGGCAGTGCACCTGCAAAGGAAGAGGGTTGGGGGGGTGGTGAGGGCTCGGCCCTGACCCCAGAGCCACAGGGAGCAAAGGATGGATCACAGGGATGTGCAGCCAGTGATGCCGTGTGCCAGCTGTGGGGGGACCCTGGGTGGTGTGGGGCACCTGCATTGCCCAGACGCTGGAAAAGGAGCAGCTGAGCATCCCCAGTGCCCCAGGAGATGCTGAAGGGCTGTTTTCTTGCCCAGGATGTGCCTTTCCCAAGGACACCAGCGCTGCCCAGGTGAGGCTGGCTCAAGCCCTACATTTCCTCCTGCACCACACCAGCAGGAGCCCAACCAATAGCTGGGGCAAGCCCCTGTACTTTGCATCCCTCCTGCTCACACCCATCCCAACCGTGTCCCATTCCTGAGAGGATACTCTGGCAGCAGCATGGCTGCTGGCATCGCATCCCACATCCACGGCCGTGTCTCCCTGGCCCTGCTCACCTGCGAGCAGAGCGTTGCCTCCTCGTGGAAGTAGCCGTGCATGAACTCGCAGTACTCCCGCGTCGTGATCTCGCAGCTGGCAGAGGGCAGGCAGGGGGCTCGCTCGGGGCAGGGCACACTCCCTGCTCCCCTGAGCATCCCCCTCTGCTCCCAGCAGCTGGTCCTGCTGCCACCATGCTTCCCACCCCACAAGGCTCCATAATCTTCCTCCCCACCCTGCCACAGCTCTGGACACTAATGGGACAACACGAGGCAGGAGGGCAGAGGAGGGAGCCAGGCCGGGTGCCCCCATCGCTGTGACCCACCTGCCCTTGGTGCCGATGCAGCAGGGCCTGCCCTTGATCTCACAGTCCAGGTGGGCGAAGCCTGTGTGGTTGGTTTTGGTCTCATAGGTGCAGATCTAGAAGCAGGAGGGGAGGAGCCCTGGTCAGGGTCCAGCCCCAAGCTCTGCCTGCAGCCCCCTGCCTGCTCATTGCCTGCTGCCACTATGGAGTCACCAGCTCATGGTGGCATTGGGCTCTTACCGGCCACTTGGTGATGTCATCTGGCCACACGTGGGGTGGGTTGGATGCTGGCTCCTCGCACGTCCTGGTGGAAGCAGGTGGGTGAGTCAGGTGACTTCCCCCAAGATATCCCTCCCTGCAGACTAGTAATGCCCTCAGACACACACACACAGCCCTGGGACCTGCCCCTTTCCCTGGCTCGGGAGGGATCCTGCCCAACAAGGGGTGTCCTACAACACCCCACAGCAGCTCCTTCCGCAGGTGAACCCCACAGCACTCACCCCCACTGACACCCTGCCCAGCATCACCTATCCCAGCAGAACAGGGACACAACAGTGTCACCCACTGCTGCCTGCATTTAGGACAGACCCCACCCCAGTTTCCCTACTGATTCCCTCTTCCTTCTCACTCTCCTACGGTGTGCAAGAGCCGTTTGGACAAGAGGATTCAAGGCATCCAAACTGGAAAGGCAGCCCTGGGCAGCCCCTCTGCCATGTACTGCACACAGCCAGGTGATTGTGCCACCTCCGCCCAGCTGTCACTTCTACCTGGGGTCCTGGTGACACACAGCTCCTGATGTCCTCTTCTCCCCCGAGCCCATGGCTGGTGCGTTGCTGCCCGGCCACTTGATGAACGTCGCCAGTGTCTCCTGTGGGAAGGATGGAGAGACTGAGGATGTGACAGGGAATGCACACTCTGACCCCGCATGTACCGTGCCCCGGTGCTGGTCAGGGCAGAGATGTTTTCCCCCTTTTCCCCAGGGATCTCCAGCACCTCCCAGTGCCCAGGGCAGTGGCACACACCGAACAGTCCTGCGGCAGGGTCTGGATGCAGCCCGAGTTGTCGTTCTGGACGCAGCAGCCGGAGCCGCGCTCCCGGTCCCGCTCGCGCTGGATGAGCCGCTCCACCTGCCGATCCTTCCGGATGCAGGGGGAGAACTTGGCTCCTAGGTGGATCAGGTCAATCTGGGAGGGAGATGCCAGTCTAGCAGATGCTCTGTCTGCACACCTCCCTTCCCTCCAGCTGCTCCCAGGGAGAGCTCAGCAGGGGCAGGGGGTCTTCACAGGCAATAGACACAGGTCTCTGTTACCCCAATGGGGGGAAGGCAGGTGGGAAGGGGATGGGGTCTCTTCTGACCACCCCACTGTGATGCTGCAGGTCCCAGAGGGAGGGGGGCACTGAGGGACCAGAGCAGCAGGCTGGAATGACATGGTCAAGCTCTCCCCTCCCAGGGAGAGGAGCACCTCAGAGAATCCCCTCAGCTCAGGGCAAGAGGAGCAGAGGGCAGAGCCTGGAACCAAGGGCCAAGGGTCTGGCAGCATCCTTACCGAGCTGGGCCCAATCCAGAAGTTTTCCTGCTGGATGTACTTGACACTCTCATAGACCCCCTTGTTCCTCAGTACCTGCCAAGAGAGGCCAGGATCAGCTCCCAGTGGGGAAACAGGAGGTATGGGGGTGCATCCCCCTCTCCCTCCACTCCTGAGAGGCTGAGCAGCCCCCTTCATCCAAGGGGAAGGGCTGCTGGGTCCCACCAGCAAGGCTGGAGGGAGAACAGCTCTGCTCCCACCACACATGCTGCTGCAACATGCTGCTTCTCATCCTCCTGCCCTGGCTATTTCATGGAGCCTCTCAAACAGCAGGAGCCCCCCAGGATGCTCCCACCTCTTGCAGGGAACATGACACCCTGGGTCACAGTCCCCCCAGGAAGATGACTCTTAAACTTACCAAGTCTGTCGTCACGTGCTGGGCGAAGCCGATGGGGGCGATGCCGTAGGTGCCGATGACCAGCAAGGTGATGAGGATGTGCACAAAGGTGATCCAGTACGTGAAATACGGCCTGCAGGGGACAGGACCCAACACCTGAGCAGCTCAAGGACAGCTGGGCAAAGGGACACTGCAGCCCCCCAAGCCCTGGTCCCCATGTATTGAGGGGGACACACATCTGGGTTACAGCCAGGGTGTCCCGTGCCCATCCCCGTGCCCTCAGTCCCCCTCACCGGTGGCTGTCGGTGATCTCCAGCTGTGACTGCACCATGCTGCTCAGGCTGCGGCGGTACGTCCTGTTCAGCCACTTGCCCACCACCCCCAGCCCGTAGTAGCGTTTCTTGCGGTCGAAGGCAAAGTGTTTCACCTTGGAGGCGATGCGCCTGCCCCGCCGGGGGGCTGCGCCCGCGCCACCGGACACCGAGGCGAGCCGGGCACCCTCCCGCCTGTGGAGAGAGGAGAAACTGTCCTAGTTAGAACAGCTGGGAACAATTCATCACTGGATGGGTGTAACCCAAACCTGTGTATTCTATAGCCTTCCATGCCATTTCCCAGAAACTGTTATCAATAGAGCATTTACACCCTCTGCCCAGAGCAGCCTGACTCCTCAGGCTATAAACTAGGGGTTAAGAGGCCTTCGAGACAGGAAGATGTTCCTGTCCTCACACCCTTTTGTGGAATTCCCCGCCCTAAGGGAAGGACTGAGCATTCCTGCCTGAACTGGAGAATATATAAAATTGGAGTTTCAGAACCTTTTTACCACTCGTGGGATCCAGAGGAAGACTGCAGACCACCACTCTCAACCAGACTGCAGCTCACCGCTCTCAACCAGACTGCAGACCACCACTCTCGACTGGACTGCAACCACCACTTTTCAACCAGACTGCAACAGGTTTACCCCTCTCCTTTTACTTTGGACTCGGGGCCCAAAGAACACCACTCTGTTCATGCCCCAGGGTGCTGGGTTATACATTTGGGTTTTGTAGGTTAAAACCAATTGTTTGTTTGTATAATCATACTTACTGTATTATTTTATTAAATTGTTATTCTGACTTATAATCTCTCTTTTGAGTTGAGTTCATTTCCCCTGCTGGTTTACCTTTAAACAGAAACCCATCACAGCTGCCAAAAGGGACCAGCTGAGAAATACCCTGTGGCCGCAGGGATACCCTGGGATAACGGCTGGGAGCACCTCCTGGCTTCACCCTCCTAGGAGCACACTGATGTGCCCAGTACCCTGTGGCAGGGATGGCTGGGGACACTGGCCTGCCTGCAGCAGGGCAGTGCCTGCTGAGAGTTGCTACTCACGGGGTGGGCTGCTCCACCTCGGGGGACACCCTGGCATCCTCCCCCACATGGTGCATGCGTAAGTACGTGGCTGATAGAGGTGGTGACTCGAAGACATCATCGGTCATGGAGTACGTCTCGTCGTGCATGTCCATCTGGAAGGAGAAGGGATATGTGTTCTTGGATGTGTGCCATGGGTCAGAAGCCTCCTCCTGACTGAGCATCCCCCAGGTCAGGGAGAGGGGGTGATCCCCACTGACATCTCATTAACTGCACATCACAGGGCGTGACATGTTCCCCTGATGGTGACAGCACTCCCTGCCACCCCCAAGGAGCATCACCAAGACTGGGGCACAGCAGCCACCGATGCCCCTGCTCGTGGGGCAGGGTGAAGCATTGACACAGGGGTCCTTGTGAGAGCCCTGCTCCACATCCAGCCCCCGTTCAGGGGCACTGGGACAGCCCCCCGCCCTGGTGGCTGGCATGGAACGTCGCTTGCCTTACTGAAGAAGGACGAGTCCAGGGTATCAGCAGCATCCACCATGTCCTCATCCATGAAGCTGGGGTACACAAAGCTCCTCTTGTTGCTCCTCCGCTTGGGAGCCAGTGGCTCCAGGACAGAGCGTCCCTTTGGCAGGGGAAGCAAATGAGGGTAAGAAGCCAGAAGGTCCTCGGGTTTCGCAGCACCAAGGGTTTCTCGTAGTTTCCCTCCCCAAAGCCAAGGGACGAGGATTAAATCCCAGTCAGCCACCATATTTCCCTGTGTAGGAAGGGCTGGCAGCAGGAGCTGGCAGCAGATGCTGCCTTTAGCTTGTCAGAGCCAGCACTGGGCCATGGTCATGTTAGTCAGCATGACAAGTGACCTCTGAATCTGTCTTGTCTCAGTCCCACAACCCTGTCCCCGAGGCTTGCCCAGGGCTCATCAGGAGCAAGAAGGTTGCTGGAGAAGCTCCCTGGCTCCTCAGCAGTGGAACTCAGCTGCTTTTTTCTAAGATTGTCCAGTTTTCACCAAAACCCTTTTTAAGTGGAGCTCAGGTGTAAAAACCACCAATCTCGCCTCTCAAACCCACCCTGGAGAGACAGTGGTGTCCATGTAAAGCCAAAAGCCACGAAGAAAAGGTGATGGGCAAGGGACAGAGCTGAAACCTGGCTCAGGAAGAAGATGATGCCCCCCCAGGCTCCCAAAACTCACGCGGAGAAGGGCTGCGGCCGCCTTGAAGCTCATGTGGGCGACAGACTCCCTCTTCCTGCGCGGCAGGCGGCCGTGGCCGGAGCGGATGCTGTTGAAGGACGCCAAGGAGACAACGCCGGGGGTGAGCGGGGGCAGGACGTGGTGGGGCGTGTGGGGACGGTCGGTCTCGTCGGGGTGGCGGAAGGGACGGCCCCTGGCCAGAGGGTCCACGATCTGCAGGAGGGAAGAGGTGTCAGTGCTGGGAGAGCAACGCTTGGGAGCAGGACCCCCCTCTCCCGAGCTCTACCTTGGGCATCTTGGCAGGCTTGGGCGACTCGGTGCCTTGGAAGGAGGGCACCTCCTGGCTGGGCAGCTCCATGTCACGATAGGCAGGCTTCAGCTTGCCATACCTCATGCTGCAGTGCTGCAGGCTCTTGCGTTGCCACTGCTGGCGCTTCCCCTCCCAGTCGCTGCTGACACCAAACCATTCCGCTGTGCCCCTGGACACAAGGTGGGCACACCTGTCACACAGTTGGTCCCTCCACTGCAACACCACCATTCCACCCGGGCATCCCCTCTAGTAGGTGGTATGGGTTGGGGTGTCTCAGCCCAACCTGCAGCAGGGCAGTTTTGACCTGGCAGGGAGATGAAGGGAAGGGGGGGAAAGTCCTTCTCGCATTCCCTTCTGAGGCACAACTCTCCATTCCCATCCCAAGCCCTCTGCCAGTACCCACAACAACCTGACAGGGGCCCCTCCAAGTGACCCAGCCACTGCTGGAGCCCACCCTGCCCTCACTTGCGGATGCTCTGGGACAGGGAAGTTTGCCGGCGGAATCCGTGCCGGCGTTCCAGGCGGGGCTCCTGCAGGCTCTTGCTCTTTCGGTAGATGGGGACCTTGGAGGGCTGGAAGGCAGAGCAGGGTGTTAGGGACGGGGGGCATGGGGGGGGTTCCCCAGGGACAGCAGCCCCTCAAACTCAGCATGGGACAGATGCAGCTCCATCACTCACCTCTTTGGGGGCACCATCCTCCTCCGCCTCCCGGGGCGGGATGACGATGGAGAGGTTGGGGGGCTTCTTGCTCTGCAGGCGGCTGCTGCTGGAGCGGCTGCCCCCGTTCTTGTCGCCGGCTGACATCTCGGGCCGGCGGCGGTCGGCAGGCTGGGAGGGTGCAGGGAGGCAGTGAGAGGGGAAGAAATACCTCCCCAGGAGCTCATGTGGGGGGAAAAGCTGGGTCCCAGTGGGAGTTGGAGCCTCACCAGTGGGATGTCACCAGACTCAGCCCCCTGTGCCACTGGCTGTGCTGGTGAGACCTTGCCACCATCAGTCCAGCTGCTGCATCCCCAAAACCCAGGGGACAGACAACGCCTGAAAATACTCAATCCACATCCCCAGACGCACCACAGCTCCCACATGGACCCACCACGTGTTTGGGTGCCCCATGGGAGGAGAGATGCAGGACATTCCCCTCTGGCATGTGCACACGTGCCAGGCTGGGAGACTGAATCCTCCCTGGCACCACGTGCAAGGAGGGGGAAGCTTAACAATCAAGAGGTGGTTAATTCCTCAAGCAATCCCCTCCCAAGGGTCCCTGCAGTTGGCTCTATCAGGCAGGACTTTGCAGGAAAAGTAATTCCATTCAAGCACAAGAGAGCGAGCCCCAGATCCTATTAGGGGCTAGGGGGGTAATCAAAGGGAGGCACAGCCCCCTTTGACCTCTTCCTGTCCCCCCCTGATCATGTGCCAGTGCACAGGGGACTCACACAGGTCTCACAAGCATCCCTTGTCCCCACAGGACAGCCACGGTCACAGGGATGGTGTCACCTGCCGTGCTTGCCCAGCGCCACTGGCTGCCAAATGCAGCTCAATCCACAAACCTGGCTCCTCTCCCTGCACGGGATCCCAATAATCAGCCTCCCATGGCTCCACTCTCCTTAGGAAATGTCACTTGAGCAACCAGCTGAGTGACTGGGATCCCACCAGCCCCCTCTGCAACTGGATCCCATTGGCAGCCCATTCCCAAAGCAAGAGTCAGGCACAGGGACACGTTTGCAGCTCCCCCAGCACTTGGACTCCTGAACACAACCTTCCCCTTTAAACTCCACCACAAGCAAAGCCTAGCTTTAGGAATGTGGGGTGCCCATGGGATCAGGTCCATGGGGATGTGGAAGTCCAGAACCAGCTCCCTGGGGATGGAGAAGCCTGGAGCTGGCAGCACCACTGGGAATTGCTGCCCTCCTGGGCCAGGTGGTGGCCTGCTGTCCCTGCGTTAAAAAGGGTGCTGGGCTCCTTCTCCAGCACTAAAGTTGAGAGCAACCAACTCCCAAATTTCCCCTGGGGACTCAGCCAGGGCTGGTTCCTGCCAGGGTTTCCTTACCTCATAAGAGGGATCCTGTGCAGTGGGTCTTGATGGCAAACGCCCACGGCAGCCTTGCTCTTCCTCCGTCCTTCACGCACGGGAGCCCTGGGACACGGCTGAATTCCTCCCCCCTCGCCTGTGGGGAGAGAGGCTGCGATGAAAAGCCACGCATGGGAAAGCAGGAGAGGGCTGCAGGAGCATCCTGGGAGAGGGAGAGCTGAGCTCAGTGCTCCCTGGCCCATGGGGACAGGGTTGCAGGTGGCTGGACACCACGGACATGGATCAACCTCTGGCACAGAGCGGCAGGAAGAGGAAAAGCCCCCATTTACAGCAGTGCTCTGTGGCAGGGAACAGCACTGGGCAGGCAGGGAGCTTGCCCCTGCTGCTGCCATCCAAAGCTCTTGGGAAGCAAGACACCCAGGAAGAGCGGGCATGAAACACAAGTGCCGTGCTCGCTATTTCATAGCTGCTGAACTGGGACAATGCCAGCCCCAGCAAGCAAAACTTTCCGTCCTGCTGGTGAGCTGGAGACACTGTTTGTTTTCCTCCCAGGGCAGCCAGCAATGAGCCTGGGATGCCAGCTGCTCTGGAGAGCTGGGAATGGGAACACGCTGGGGTCAGAGCAATCCCTGGGACACCCTTATCCTCCTCCAGTTCAAGGGAATGGCTCTCAGTGGTGAGAGCCAGCAGAGCCAGAAGCACAGAAATCAAAGCCAGATTCTTACAGAGCCCCACTCTCACACCCCTACCCCAAAACCCCACCCCCAAGTGCCCCCATCACACCCCAGACAGCCCTTGGCCAGGCTTCCCAGCAGAGCAGGTTTGCAGCACGTTTAAAATCCCGGTCTCGCTCCCCAGCAGCTCCCCAGGCAGGGGGGGTGCAGGGGCAGTCCTGGCCTGCCCCGAGGTGACGCAGCTCCCGGGGGATCTGGCACAGCCCGGCGGGCACCTGCTGTCCGGTCACGCGGCGCGGCCGGAGCGGCTTTCACGGCTCGGGGCATTAGGGCAACATTTGGCACTGGGCAAGAGAGGGGAGCAGGGCAGCAGCCCACGAGGGCTCAAGTCTCCTTTCCCACATGGGCTGCGGGCAGCAGCCACCCCCCCAAGCACAGGCTCTGAGCCACGAGAAGTCTCACCCTGTGCCAGGCAGAGAAATCCCTCGGGGATGGTGGTGGGCAGGTGTTTTCCAGCTCCCCACGTGTTTGGTGCTGGCACCCAACCCTCCAGAGCTGGCATGCTCAGCAGGAGAACGGGCCAGCCGGCGCCTCCATCCAGAGCCAGCCTGCCATAAGCTTGGCTGTCTGGATCCCTATGGTCCTGGGCCCCTGTCACCCTACCAGCCCCAGGATGGAGGGCTATGCCACCAGGAACACGGCTCCCTGCCTGGCAGACCTGGCAGCAGCAATGCCATTGAAGGGCACAGCCCAGCTGTGGGTCCCCAGGGAGCCCCAGCTCAGTCCCCGGGTGCTCAGGGTGGACGTGGTGGCTCCGTCCTGGGGACAGAAAAGGGAAGTGAGAGGCGACGTGCTGAGCTGACACGGGGGGATGGCTGAGCAAACACCCTAATGCAGGGACAAGGCGGGTGACAGCAGTGGGGGGTGACAGACATGGGACCCAGCACCCACCAACATGTCCTGAGCTTGGTAGGAGCTGTGCTTTGGGCTGGAAGAAGGGTCCTGGGGCAGCACGATGTCACTTCAGGCTGGAAAAGATACACATGCCCTGGGGATGCTGCCATTACCCGGGATAAATGGGCAGTGGGTGGAGGCGGGTCTGGTCAATAAGAAGAAATCCCCCACCATCACCATCTTCCCTCCCAGAGTTCTTGCCCACTGAAGCTCACCAAAGCCTGACATCCAGCCACGATGGACAGAGCCCGTGCTCCAGCAGCAGCAGGGGGTGAAGCCCCCATGCCCTCTCAAGAGGGCAGGTGTGTTGGGGTCACTGGGGAGCAACTGGGATGAGATTTTAGTCTTCAACCAGGAAAGGTACAAGGAAGGTGACCAGGGCTGGCTCCCAGCCCCGGGGTGAATCACAGCAAATGCTGACCCAAGGAAGCACACCCAAGGAAGAAAGGGATGGAAAAAGTGATGTGGCTCGTACAAGGCGTCACCACAGGACACACTGGGATGGTCTGAGCAACACAAAGGGACCATCAGCAAGGCCACGTGAGCAGAACTGGGACATCCAAGCACAATCGTATGAGACACTGGAGACAACTCTGCAGAGCAGCCCTGGTCAGAGGGGGGTGTATGCAGCACAGGGGTCATAGATGCTTGGACAAGGATTAGGGTCTCTCTCCCTGAGCCTGTTGGTGGGGGGGGAAGCAAGATTACCGGTGCTGGAATAACAGTGCATCAGGATGGTGCAATTAAACTGGAGGAGAAAGCAGCTCTGAGCCACCCAAGGGTGCAGGGACAGGAGTGGGACCCTCACAAGCACCCATCACACCCATCACTCAGAGCATGAGGAGCCCTTGCTCTTCCCTCTCCAACTCCACAGGGGAGTGAGAAAGGGGTCAGCAATACCACAAAGCCCCCAAACCCCCCCACAACTTGCACTGCTGCTCACACCCAAGAGTCCATCAAGCAGAGCTGCTGCTGCTGCTGCCCATAAATGATTCACAAGCACGTTAAAGACCTCTCTCAAGGCTGGAGCTGCGTTAAAAGGTGCTCCTACAGTTATTAAGAGCTCTGGATAGGAAACTCGATTGGTGTAATTGCTCTGAGCATTGAGCCCCCGTGGACTCACACACAAGTAGGGGCCACCCAGAACCTTCCCCCATCCTGCTCCCTCTTGAAGAGCTTTGGACCATTTTCCAGTCTCAAGTTTCAGATCTGGAGAGAAGCAGCCCAGCACAAACAGCTCTTGAAATGAAAAAATATTATTGGGGGAAGTAAAAAGGAAAAATATTCCATCTTCTCCCCACGTGTTCCAGCCCTGTTGCAATGGACTCAGTCAGCAAAACACGCAGGGTTTCACTCTGAGTCTTCAGAGAGGCCCTCTGTGCTTCAGGGGGTATTTTAAGCTGCCTTCTCCCTCATCACTGAGCCACGTGGTCAGCGTGGACACCCACGGGGGCTTAAATCCCCACCTCTGTGACGGCTGGGGTAGGAAGATGGGGAGTACAGATGCCCAGTGGGTGCTGGGATCCCTTCCAGTCCCTGAGGTGTGCAGGCAGCCAGCACACACCTCGCCCACGCTGCCATTAGAACATCCTCTCCCATTATTCTGCGTCGGGCAGGACATTGGGCAACGGCAGCAGGTTTGCTGAGCCCGGGCTGGGAGCACGGCACGCCCCGGGAGGAAGGAAAGCGGCCGGGGAGATAGAGCGTGGCAGCGGGGGGGCTGTGCTGGACCCGCTGATAAGGGCAGAGCCCTGCCCGCGGGCAGAGGAGCGGGGGCCAGGGGCAGCTCAGCTGCTCACACCATTGCACACAGCAGCCACGCACTGGGCTGCCCTGCCGGGAGGGCTGGAATGCTGGGAGTGTGGTCCTGGACTCTCCGGCAGACCTGGGTGACACCATCCTACTGGCACGGAGAGGGAAGGATTTGCCTGAGAAGTCCAGAAAGAGCCACGTGGGGGATTTCCCACTTCCACAATGGCCACGGCCCATTTCCCACCCTCGTTAATTTTTACCAGTGCAATGACCCCCACTCACCCCAGTAGAGCGAGTGTCGGCACCCAAAGGCTTCCCAGCCCACAGCCCCGGTGAGCTGGGGTCCCTCTGTCCCTCTGGCCACCCACCCCACACCTCCCCACTCCCATTCCCAGGGTGACCACACACCCTCACAGCAGAACAACCCAAAACAGGCGGCCCTGCACAAACCCACCCTCTGCTTCCCGCGGTGCAGATGCGCCGTTGGGGCGGTGGGTGCTGCTGGAGGGGCCTTGGCTGCGCAAGGGGATCCCCAGCCCACGGGTCCTTTCTTCAGGCAGGAGCCCAAGCCAAGTGAGGAACGAGCACGTGGAGGCTTTGAGTCACCCCAACGGCTTCGGGAAGAGCAAAGGGCGAAAGTCTCCACCAGCAGCGCGGGAAGCGCGGTGGCTCCACCAGGGAACGCGCAGAGGGGTCGGCTGCTCCTCAGCAGCGCTGTGGGCAGGGGCACAGCACCCTCCAGACACAAGGAAAGCTCTTTTCCAGGATCTGCACAGATCAACCCTACCAGGATTGATTTAACTTGGTTTTATCTAAGAACTGATTAATTACTCAGAACTACTCTGATTCCTCATTAGCTTGGCTTAAGAACAGGGCGCACAGACGTGATGGTGCAAGTGCTTGAGGCCTGGCTGCACCTTCTGGAAGGAGCTGAGGGGTCACAGGTTGGTGTTTACCCTGGGGAAGGGGTGCCTACAGGCCTCTGCCTGCCACCCCCATGCTGCAGGTCATTACTGAGTTCATTTTCACTTCCCTTCTTAAAGCAAAATTCTTGGTGTGAAAGGACAATGGGGATGGGGGGGGACATTTCTCCCTCTGGTTCCACTGCAAAACACTAATTTTGTCAGCAGCTCTTGGTGCCAGGGCTCAGCCTGGGCTTGCAGACTTCCCCAGTCCCCCACTCCTATCTTGGAGCACACTGAGCCACACAAAGCAGCACTGGACTGACAAAAACGCCCCTTACTTGCAGTGTCCCCTCGCTGCGAGCTCTGAGCATCCCCATGTCATGTGGGATGCAGCAGTGAGAGGTGGTGCTTAGCCCTGCACAGGAATTCAGCTCATCCCAGGGACAAGATGATCCCCGGGCTGACGACAGGACGAGCCCCCTTGGCTGCAGCTCCCTATCTCTGGGAACAGACTCCTTATCTCAACGCAGCCATTTCAAGGCTCGTACAATGTGCTGCTCGCCCTGCCCGCCCCCGTGCAAAAAGGGGGAGCCCTGGGTGGACACCTGCAGCTTCCTTCATTCCCCTTCCAGGGCCAGCAGTTCCCTTGGTCACCCCCTTCCTCGACAACCCCTCCCGCCCATCGCTCCCTCCTCCCAACCACCAGCAGCCGAACGTGGGTGGGTCACTCCTCAGCTTCCTTCCTTTCACTCCTGATTACCACCAGGCCAGAGGCACCCAGGTCCCCACCCTGCAACGGAGAGCCCAGCTGGGAACAGCTCATCCCCATCCAACACGGTGCAAGCCTGGCACGGGGAATCCTACACTCACCAGTGCCTATGGAATGTGATGCTCTCCCCACTGCAGCATCACCATGGACCTGTGCCAGCAACGCACTTTGCAGCCTCTCGGCTGCCAAGAGCTGGTGATGGGGTCTCCCCCACCATCCTCATGCTCTTCCTGCCTGCCATCCCATCCCATCCCTGGGATGGTACACCCACAGGGAAGCCACACAGTTCAGTGCAGGGGTTGGAAACGCTGATTTTTAAGGAGCCACCGCCGTGTCCTCTCCAGGAGCGCTTGGACTGGGTGCCACCAAGTGCATGAGTTGACTTCACCCTGGTTATGGCATCACCCTTGGAAAAACCTTATGCCAGCAGCACAGTGTTGGCCCCAGCAAGACTTCTCTGCTTATGCCATGGAGGAGCTGAGGGACGGGCAGGACACACCAACGCCGAGTGTCAGGGATTCACCCGGTGAGCACGGCATGCAGCCTTCGGGCTCACACGGAGCGGGAGGTCACTCCCAGCCCTGCCCTGGCGTTCCTGTAGGCCGGCAAATTACAGGGATAACTCTGTCAAACCCTCAGCACAAGCTGCAGCATGACACTCAGGGAGAGAAGCCATCCCCATGGCATGGGAGGGGGCACACTGGGCATCTCAGGGGCACCAGCCACATCTGCCCTACCCTGAACAGGTCCATGAGACCAGAGGAATACATCAGGAATTATTATTTTTAAGCAATAAATAAATAAAACACAAGCTGACAGAGACTGCTAGAAGGAGGGCTCCCACTGTCCTGGGAGCCGCAGGAGCCCAAAAAGGAGGCTGTGGATGGGAGGGATGGTCCTGTGGGATGGCTGGGCATGTGAGCATCCCACTGAGGAGTGACCACACACCACTCATCTGAGTGGGTCTCCACAGGGCTGGACATGCAGCACAGAGACCATGTGCTCTCCACACTGGTGAATTTCTTCCTCCCATCCAATGGTAGCAGCCTGGGAAAGGCCAAGGAGCATCCCTGGGCACTGCCCTGCTCCCTCCCTGCCCGTGTCCCACTGTGGCCTCCAGCACCACATCGAGTGAGTCGGTTTGCACCTGTGCTCCCCCCTCTTGGGGTATGGCCACAGCATCAACCCTGCTCTGGTGGCTGCACAAACCCCCCCCAGAGGTGACAAGCAGCGGTTTCACAGGACACCTTTGTGCTTTATGACTCATTTGTGGCATTTCAGAAGTGGGGAAACTGAGGCACCACAACACAGTAAGACTCCCCTGCCTTCCCACCCCCCCGCTGCACCACAGGCACGTAGCTGGTCCCTTCTCTATCAAAGTCCACACAGCTCCCCCAGATTTCAGTTCCTGGAGGACAAGGGTGGAGGGGGAAGCCCTCACATGGAAACCCCATAAATACTCAATTTCCATAAACGGTGCAGGCTGCTCCCCTGCCCTCCCAGAGCAGTTATTTGGGGGTTGCCCCTGCCCCATGCTCAGCTAACAAGACCAGCACCCCATGATGCTGGCCCTCAGGGTGCAGGTCCCCAAGGATGAGGGGGACACGGGGATCCTGTGCGGGGGCAAGCAGAGGGCAGGGTTGGTTTGGGGCCACCCAGCACATGGCCATTCCCAAGGCACCCTCCCTCAGTTCATTCTCCACCCTAAATGCCTCATTAAGAGAGCAACCACGAAACAACTGCCTTTTTGTTGCCTTTTTTTTCTTAAGAAATGGGGATTAAGTGAGAAAAAGGGGTACCAGTGCCAAGGGTTTATTCCATACCCGCCAGCACACACACAGCTTTCCATGCTCACTTGGAGGCCAGGAAGTGACCATAAAACTCCAAGCACCACATGCTCCCAAATGACCACAACTCCTGGATCCTTGTAATTAAAAGGGACCGTGCCCACTGGAGGCTTGTCACATTACCAGCCAACTCACAGCCCAGCAGGACAGTGGAAACCAGAAGTCATTAGATAAAAAGCTCCTCAGGAGGAGGAGAGTTCATGATCCCATCACTTGTGGGTTCATAGAGATTTAAGTAATTAATTTTCAGCCTTCACCAGTTGACTTCTTCGGTACCAAGCCCACACTCACTCCTCAGGTCCCTGCAGGGCTCCCAGTGCCCATGGGAAATGTGGAAATGCCTCGGGAGCCCTGTGTCAGCCTGGGCAGCTCTGCAACCCCCCCAGCCATCTGATTCTCCATCACCTGTCCCCTACTTTCTTTGGCAACAAGCAATCATCTGACTCTTGGCTCATCCCAGGGGCTGTTTTCAGGTCGAGAACAACCTAAGGGAAGGAATAAGGATGTGCTTGGGGGATCCCTCAGCTTCACTGCAAGACTTGAACAGGAGCAGTATCCAGGAACAAAACACAGACTCAGAGCACAGCCACGTGCTTGTCTTTCAGCCCAGCCCAGCCAAACACAGCCCAATTTCCCCAGGTCCCACAGCACACCCCAAGGAGTGCAGCCCACCCAAGAGAGACAATGCAGCCAGCCCCTTCCCCACTGGATTCACGCCCCCGTGTTTTGCATCCCCAGCCCCCTGAGCTGCTCTCCCAGCATCCACAGGCATCTATTGTTCCTGCTGCCGGCATCCCTGCTCCAGCAACACACACAGAGTGCTCGCACATGCCCCTGAGAGCAACACCAGGCTCAGCTCCATCTTAAACCAGGGCTCTGTTTCGGCGTCAAACACCACTCTGTGGTTTACCCTTTCTCACTTGCAGCACCTCCAGGTGCACCAGTGCAGCTGCAGCAGTGCCAGAGAACCCCCCACTGAGGGAAGCAGTAGCTGGTCACCTGCTTTCCAGCAAACAGGAGCAAGCAGCAAAAGGTGTCTATCACTCCATTAATTGTGAAGGAGCTGGGAGAGGCAGAGCCTGGGCGCAGCAGCTGGGAGCTCAGGGAGCCACATGTGAAGCCAGTGGTGACTGGGGCAGCACAGGCAGAGGCAGCTTTGGTTTGCCCCAGACACAGCTGCAACTGAACCTTCCAGTTCGTTTTGGAGGTGGGACAATTCCAAGCTGGTTATTTCCCACCTGGGAAAAGGGAAGGAGCCAAAGGATGCTCCTTCAGAGGGCAGGAAGGAGGGAGCCAAGTGGGCAGCATTTCCCACTTCCCATTTCCAGGACATCCACAGGACTGTGGTGGGGATCAGTTCCCAACCCTCCAGCTGGGCTGGAGGCTGAGAGTCCAGGACAGTGGCGATATGATGGGAGTGACCATGCAGGGACTGGGAACAGGCAGGCAGGAGAACGTCCCAGCTCCCATGGCTGAGAGGGATGATGCCACACTGGGGAAGAAGGCAGACACTTCCTCTTGCCACAGGGACCAGCAGTGACCATGTAGCCTCTCAGGTCCCTTTCCCCCTGCGGAACATGGGCATGGGGAGCTGAGTGAGAGCTGCAGAGTCCCAGACCACGGTGAGCACCTCCATCCGACTGTGGGCAAGCCTGGAAGAACGGCCTCTGCCCCGTCCTGATGGCCTGGCAGCAAGGCAGGGCAGGATGGGGTAGTGCTCACCTCACCCCTCAGTCCCAAACCTGGGGGGCCAACAGCAAAAATCCAACTGGCTAAAACAGCCGCACACAGCATCCCTCTGCTCCCGGCGGGATACACCTATGGATGGAGGATAACCGGGTCCTTCTGCTCTGGGAGGGTTTTGTTCGCCTGCGAAGGGCTGGTGGCAGCACTCGCCACTCCAGGCAGCACGTGCGAGTCTTTAAGCAAATCTCAAACCAGCTACAACAACAAAGCCCCGGCGGCACCGGAGGATGCTCGGGGGGCAGGGACCCGGCCCCCTCCCCTGCCCACCTGCCCTCGCCCGCGGCGTCGAGGCTGCTCGCCCGGGGAGGGGGAAAACCAGCAAACACAAACAAAACCACACGCCCGCCTGGTTATCGGGCCATCGGCGCCAGAAAGTAGGTTAGGGCTTTCCTCCCTTGCTTTGGCCGGGGATTGGGCAGGGTTTCTCCCTCCGGCTGGGTCACTCCGCCGGGACACGCACCCACTTCCCCCTGCGATGAAGAGGAGGAGGAAGAGCCCGGCCCCCGCCATCCGTCCGGAGGCGGCGGGCAGGGAGCGGGGCACGGCCGCAGCCTGGGCAGGGGGACCCTCGGCCGGGGCGAAGGGCCGGCGGGGGGCCGGGGCAGCGCCCACCCTGCACTGCCGCGGGGCCGGGGCCGCGCCGGGCGGGACGCGCGGGGCGGAGGAGGAAGCTGGCGGGACGCGGCGGTCACAAAGCGGCAACAACCCGGGCGGTCGCGAAACGAGGCACCGGGACCCCCCGCCCTTCCCTTCCCTGCTCCGCTCCTCGACCCCGCTCACCTCGGCCCGGTGCCGGTGCTGAGCCCGGTCCCAATCCCGGCCCCGGTCCCGCCGCCGCCTCCACCTGGGCCGGGCGGGGCTGGGGACGGGGCCGGGGGCGGGGCCCGGGGCGGGTCACGGGGCGGGGTCTCGGCCCCACGCGTGGGGCTCCCGTGGGCGCTCCGTCCTTCCCGCCCCTCACCGGCCCCGTCCCGGCGGCATCCGCCACGGGGGGCTCAGCCCCTGCCGCCTCCCCCGGGCCCCTGCCCCGCGGCACCGGGCACGGGGAGCTGGGCACCGCCACCGGGGCACCGGCGCTGCCAGGGCCGGGTGCAGCTGGGACCGGGCGCTATCAGGACCGGCCACTGTTGGGATCAGGCTCTGTTAGGACTGGTCGCTATCGGGACTGGGCACTATCAGGACCGGCCACTATGAGGACTGGTCACCAATAGGACCACTCACAATCAGGACTGGTCAGTATTAGGATTGGTCAGTATTAGGGCTGGTCACCATTAGGACCGGTTACCATTAGGACCAGTCACAATCAGAACCGGTCAGTATTAGAGCTGGTCACCATTAGGATCGGTCACCATCAGTACCAGTCACTATTAGGACTGGTCACCATTAGGACTGGCCACTATTAGGACCAGTCAACATCAGGACTGGTCAATATTAGGACCATTCAGTGTTAAGACTAGTCAGTAATAGGATCAGTCACCATTAGGAGTGGTCTCCATTAGGACCAGTCACTCTTAGGACTGGTCAGTATTAGGACCAGTGACTATTAGAACCAGTAACCATTAGGACCAGTCAGTATTAGGACCGGTCACCATTAGGACTGGTCACTCTTAGGATTGGTCACCATTTGGACCCCCAGGTACGGCCCCCTGGCCCCAGCACTGGGCACCCGGGGTGCTGGGCAGCGTGGCGGGCACGGTGCAAGCTGGCACAGCCCCAAGGGCTCTGCAGGCCCAGGCACATCCCGGTGGCCGGGCCGGGTGCGGGTGACGCAGGCGGGGCTGGGGCAGTGGGCAGCGGCCACAGGGCCAGTCCTGTCGGCTTTTACAGTGACTCATCCAGGGGCTGGCAGAGCTGAACCCCCAGAGGCTGCCACTGCTCCACCACCATCAGCTCTTCTTCCACAACAGCCTCACATTCAGCTTCCTCCCATCCCGGGAGGAGGTTGGGTGCCAGCAGGATGTGGGGGGGATGAGGAGAGGCCTTTGCAGTTCCAAGGTATTGCTGAGGCCTCTATAGAGGACAATATGCCCTGGATTTTGCCACACAATAAAGTCTTGATTCACAAGTTGCAGCAGGTCTCAGGTGAGCACTGACTGAGTTTACAACCACGACCAGAAATTTTATGCCTCGCTATCAAAAATTGCAATTTTCCTTTATATTTCTCTGACCCCCAAACCCACTGTGCTAAAAGTGTCCTCAGGTCCAACTTGGAAACTCTGATGCCTAGTAGGGCATTGAGCTTGTGCTCCCAGCACCACTCCACCTTCCACTTCCATGGCTCAGCAAATCTGCTCCCGGTTCCTGGTAGAAAAAAGGGTGGGGAAAGCTTTTGGTTCCTGCCGGTTCCTTTGAAGTTGTGATTTGAAGCGGGTGGAGAAAGGGAGAGCCCAGCAGGTGCCAGGATGGGTGTCTGGGCACGGACACCCCAACATGGGCCGTGCCACGGGGTGGGTGAGTGCTCCCCATCCGTGACTCAGGGGTGAGGGAAGGGTGAGGTGGCGGTGGCAAGTGGGGACCTGTGCCAAGATGGCATGGACTTCTCTCTGTGTTTGGGAAGGGACAGAACAACCTTTGGGTGAGACAAACAAAGGCTGACAAAAAAACATCACTGCCGTGGCCCTGCCTGAATCCTGCTCCAAGGCTGGTGTCCTGCGGGATGTGTCTTTCCATGGAGGCAAAGCCCCCAGAGGGAAAGAGAGGAGGGTGTCTGCCACCTGTGCCAGGCCTACCGAGCATTGGGCAATAAGGAAGCAAAAGAAATGGCTGAAAAAACCCCAAGGGAGCAACGACAGGGTGTTGCGTCACTGCTGGGGAGATGCTCAGCAGAGCCCTTCCCTCTGTGGAGCAAACCACCCACAGCCTGGCCAGGAATGTTCTGGCTGGCCTGTCTCCAAAGGAAAGCAGGGAGGGGACACAGTGCTGTGCACCCTGGCATTAGGAGATCATCCTGTGCAGGATGTTGGGAGCCCCCGTAGCGATGTGCCAGGCCCAGGGCTGGGACATCTCAGCAAGAGACATTCCTCCTCCTCATGCCATGAAACCCCCCAGGGTGGGATCCACCCCCAGCAGCCTGGGGCCAGGCAAGGTCCTGCTGCTCACTGCCCACCCAAGGCTCAAGGCAGGGGGCTGCTGCCAGGGCAGGTCCTGTCCTTGGGTATGGGGGCACATTGCAGGAGATCTGAGCAATATCAGGCTTCACTAGAAACCACAGCTGAGAAGGTTTCAGGGGATTTTAAAGAGGATTTTCAGGGGCCAGCTCAGCCCTGCTCCCCTCAGCCTTGGTATCCTGTAGCAGCAGATGAGCCTTACAGTCCCTTCCAATCCAAACCATTCCATGATTCTGTGATAACTCAAGTATGTTGAAGGAAGGCATTTGCTCCCATGGCAGCTGCAGTTTTTCCTGCCAAAGATGCTGGTACACAAACTTGGATGCCAGTGGGGCTGTGACAAGTGACATAAGCCCAGTTGTCCTGCTTTGGGAGAGCTGGCAGAGCCGGGAGGCTGCTCCCTGGGGAAAAGGAACCCTGCATCCCGTGAGTTTGACCTTCTCTCTCGCCAGGTACCTCCAGCCCTGGCTGGGGGCAGAGGTGAACAGTGTTATGGGATGTGCTGGATCTGGGTGTAACTGGGGAATGGCCTTTTGGGTGGGCCCCTGCCTGTGGAGGGGCTCCAGGAGCCTGGCATCAGCTCCAGTGACACAAGGGGACAAAAGATCCTGGTTTTCACAACCTCGGAGTTTCGGTGTTGTGAAAACCCCACACTGCCATCCCAAGGCTGCAGTCTAAAGTTTCCTTGTTTTTCCAACTGCTTCCTAGAATGTCCAGGTTCTCCAGGATTTTTTCCCATTGTTGGCTCTTTACGAGCCCCACATCCAGGTGTGAAATCCCCCCAGTTGCTGCCACACACAGACAGATGGGTTTGGTTTGTGCTCCCACATCCTCTCATCCCCTGGTCTCTCAGAAAACAACCTGGGGAAAAGACCTGCATGGAGGGGACGCATCTTGCCCCAGCCCTTGCCACCGGTTTGGCCCCCGCCGCGTCCCACTCTCACGCTGTCTTACCTCCCTCAGGGTTACAAAATGCCCGTCCCCGCTGTCACCATCCCCCGGGCCCGCTAGGAGCCAGCAGAGCCCCTGGCAGGCTGTGCCAGCGCCGGGTGCTGCAGCTGGATCCTGCTGTGCTGCCGTTCCCGGTGCGAACGGCAGAGGCCAGGCCGTGGCCGCGCTCCGAGCGGGGTGGAAGCTGTTCCACAACAGCAGAGTATGCTCAGCCTCTGCCATCGCTCAGCACTCCCTTCCCTTTCACCTCCATCCCACCAGTGTCACAGCTGCCCCATCCCCGCTGGTGTCACAGCTGTCACCCCCGCCCAGCCCCTGAGGGACACGGGACACCCTGGGACCATCTGGTTCTTGGTGCTTCATGCAAAGACAGGAGAAGTTTTTCCTGTCAGGCAAACAAGGACCTCAGGTCTGGTTCTGTGAGGGCAGAGCACGTGGGAAAGCCCCTCCAAGCCTTTCCCACTGGCATCACAGTGTTGGTGGTACGGTGCCACCCAGCTGAGTGGCAGATGGAGCTTGTCATGTCATCCTTGCCTGCCTGTCCCTGCTGCTCCTCTGCCCCGGCCATCGAGGGGCTGGGAGGTGGGTACCAGCATCCATCACCCACCAGTACCGTGCTCTGCAGCTGCCCTGGGCTTGGTCACCTTTGCAGACACGGGGATGCTCCTGCTCATCCCTGAGTCCACAGCCTGGGGAGCTGGGGGACCCCAATACCTGTCCTCAAAGGCACCGTCATCCTCAGAGCCTGACTGAGCCCCTCTCAGCACACAGACCCCTCCAGACACAGATATTAATGGGAAAATTTGTATTTTTACCCCTTTCAAGCACTGTTTTCTCCTGCTCTCCCGCCCTCCCTCCCTCCTCAGCCAGCCTGCAGGAATAAAACAATATCAAATGTAATCAAAGGCAGGCTGGTGGGAGTTTGTCTTCTGAAGTTTCCTCTTCTTTTATTGCTTTCTCAAAGAATAAGCATTTGGGAGGACTCTAGAGTGATTTAGTGGAGCAGGAAAGGGCAGGAGGCTGAGAACTGCCTGCTCCCTTTGATGGTCCAGCCTTGGGGATTTTCTGCCCAGTCAGATGATAAGGCTGGGAAGAGCTTGACTTGGTGGGAACCTGCTTCACCCCCCAGCACTGGGGCTGGGGTCTGCAGGAGCTGCTCGGACAGGGGCTGGGGCAGAGGATGCTGCTGTGGAGGGAAGGACGGACCGAAGTGGGTGAATTCACAGCAGTTCAGAGGAAATAGTAACCTTTGAGAAGCAACGTTCCTTGCCCACTGCTATTTATCCAGCATTCCCAGTGGCTCCTTCTGCCGAGCCTGACCCTGTGCTGGGCTCAGTGGATCCATGCCTGGCTGAGCAGACGCTGCAGTGTGGTGTTTACCAGCATCCAGCTTTACAGAGGTTCCCTGCCTGCCACCAGTGCCCACCCAAGCTGTATCCAGCAGCTGGTCTGGTGTGGGAAACAGAGCTCCATCAGCCCTGATTTCTCTTGGCTGGGGAAGAACTGGGGCCAAGGATGCTTCAGCACCTCTCGATGCAGCATCCCAGGGCAGAGGGGGTTTGGTGGAGACCAAGGCTGGACTGACAAAACCGGCACTTCCCCAGCACCCCATCACCAGCACCCACCTCTCTGCTGGCACCCCATCTCTCCATAGGCACCCCAGTGCCTGCAGGCACAGCACCTCTGCAGACACGGCAACCCTTCAGGCAGCCCTCTCTGTCATCACCCCAAACCCTCTGCCAGCCTCTGGTCCAAAAGTGAACCATGACATGGGTGGGTTTTCACAGAGTGGGG